AAAACCACGCCGACAGACGCCCGTAAAACCACGCCGACAGACGCCCGTAAAACCACGCCGACAGACGCCCGTAAAAACCACGGCGAACGCAGATATAGCCCCGTAAAACCATGTCAAATGGAAACAGAGGCCCATAGAACCACGCCGACAGAGGACTGTAGAACGCCGACAGAAGCCCGTAAAACCACGCCGACAGAAGCCCGACAGACGCCCGTAAAACCACGCCGACAGAAGCCTGTAAAACCACGCCGACAGACGCCCGTAAAAACCACGGCGAACGCAGATATAGCCCCGTAAAACCATGTCAAATGGAAACAGAGGCCCATAGAACCACGCCGACAGAAGCCCGTAAAACCACGCCGACAGACGCCCGTAAAAACCACGGCGAACGCAGATATAGCCCCGTAAAACCATGTCAAATGGAAACAGAGGCCCATAGAACCACGCCGACAGACGCCCGTAAAACCACGCCGACAGACGCCCGTAAAACCACGCCGACAGAAGCCCGTAAAACCACGCCGACAGAAGCCCGTAAAACCACGCCGACCGATGCCCGTAAAATGACGCCGAACACAGACAGGGGCCCGTGAAACACCAGCTTTCATAAAGTCCCAGGTCTACATACCGATCCTCTCCAGGAAGTGATGCTTAGCTCTCAGCCTCCTGATCTCCACCTCCTGCTCCTTGTACCTCTGAGGAAACAGAAGCTGATTGGCTGAACTCAGGCCTGTCAGAGCCAGAAAGTCTGCAACGTTAGTTCTGATTCGCTGATTCTCCTCCTCAGAGCAACGCCCCCAACGCAGAGCCACACCTGCAGGAGCAAAAACAGTTGTGTTACTACTAAGTATCAGTACCTTGCTGTCTGACGTGTTTGCAGTATCTGTACCTTGCTGTCTGACGTGTTTGCAGTATCTGTACCTTGCTGTCTGACGTGTTTGCAGTATCTGTACCTTGCTGTCTGACGTGTTTGCAGTATCAGTACCTTGCTGTCTGACGTGTTTGCAGTATCTGTACCTTGCTGTCTGACGTGTTTGCAGTATCTGTACCTTGCTGTCTGACGTGTTTGCAGTATCAGTACCTTGCTGTCTGACGTGTTTGCAGTATCTGTACCTTGCTGTCTGACGTGTTTGCAGTATCTGTACCCTGCTGTCTGACGTGTTTGCAGTATCTGTACCCTGCTGTCTGACGTGTTTGCAGTATCTGTACCTTGCTGTCTGACGTGTTTGCAGTATCTGTACCTTGCTGTCTGACGTGTTTGCAGTATCTGTACCTTGCTGTCTGACGTGTTTGCAGTATCTGTACCCTGCTGTCTGACGTGTTTGCAGTATCTGTACCCTGCTGTCTGACGTGTTTGCAGTATCTGTACCTTGCTGTCTGACGTGTTTGCAGTGCTGTCTGACGTGTTTGCAGTATCAGTACCTTGCTGTCTGACGTGTTTGCAGTATCTGTACCTTGCTGTCTGACGTGTTTGCAGTGCTGTCTGACGTGTTTGCAGTATCTGTACCTTGCTGTCTGACGTGTCTGCAGTATCTGTACCCTGCTGTCTGACGTGTCTGCAGTATCTGTACCCTGCTGTCTGACGTGTTTGCAGTATCTGTACCTTGCTGTCTGACGTGTTTGCAGTGCTGTCTGACGTGTTTGCAGTATCTGTACCTTGCTGTCTGACGTGTTTGCAGTATCTGTACCTTGCTGTCTGACGTGTTTGCAGTATCAGTACCTTGCTGTCTGACGTGTTTGCAGTATCAGTACCTTGCTGTCTGACGTGTCTGCAGTATCAGTACCTTGCTGTCTGACGTGTTTGCAGTATCTGTACCTTGCTGTCTGACGTGTTTGCAGTGCTGTCTGACGTGTCTGCAGTATCAGTACCTTGCTGTCTGACGTGTCTGCAGTATCAGTACCTTGCTGTCTGACGTGTCTGCAGTATCAGTACCTTGCTGTCTGACGTGTCTGCAGTATCTGTACCTTGCTGTCTGACGTGTCTGCAGTATCAGTACCTTGCTGTCTGACGTGTCTGCAGTATCAGTACCTTGCTGTCTGACGTGTCTGCAGTATCTGTACCTTGCTGTCTGACGTGTCTGCAGTATCAGTACCTTGCTGTCTGACGTGTTTGCAGTATCAGTACCTTGCTGTCTGACGTGTCTGCAGTATCTGTACCTTGCTGTCTGACGTGTCTGCAGTATCAGTACCTTGCTGTCTGACGTGTCTGCAGTATCTGTACCTTGCTGTCTGACGTGTCTGCAGTATCAGTACCTTGCTGTCTGACGTGTCTGCAGTATCAGTACCTTGCTGTCTGACGTGTCTGCAGTATCTGTACCTTGCTGTCTGACGTGTCTGCAGTATCAGTACCTTGCTGTCTGACGTGTCTGCAGTATCAGTACCTTGCTGTCTGACGTGTCTGCAGTATCTGTACCTTGCTGTCTGACGTGTCTGCAGTATCTGTACCTTGCTGTCTGACGTGTCTGCAGTATCAGTACCTTGCTGTCTGACGTGTTTGCAGTATCAGTACCTTGCTGTCTGACGTGTCTGCAGTATCAGTACCTTGCTGTCTGACGTGTCTGCAGTATCTGTACCTTGCTGTCTGACGTGTTTGCAGTATCTGTACCTTGCTGTCTGACGTGTTTGCAGTATCTGTACCTTGCTGTCTGACGTGTTTGCAGTATCAGTACCTTGCTGTCTGACGTGTTTGCAGTATCAGTACCTTGCTGTCTGACGTGTTTGCAGTATCAGTACCTTGCTGTCTGACGTGTTTGCAGTATCTGTACCTTGCTGTCTGACGTGTTTGCAGTATCTGTACCTTGCTGTCTGACGTGTTTGCAGTATCTGTACCTTGCTGTCTGACGTGTTTGCAGTATCAGTACCTTGCTGTCTGACGTGTTTGCAGTATCAGTACCTTGCTGTCTGACGTGTTTGCAGTATCAGTACCTTGCTGTCTGACGTGTTTGCAGTATCTGTACCTTGCTGTCTGACGTGTTTGCAGTATCAGTACCTTGCTGTCTGACGTGTTTGCAGTATCTGTACCTTGCTGTCTGACGTGTTTGCAGTATCTGTACCTTGCTGTCTGACGTGTTTGCAGTATCAGTACCTTGCTGTCTGACATGTTTGCAGTATCAGTACCTTGCTGTCTGACGTGTTTGCAGTATCAGTACCTTGCTGTCTGACGTGTTTGCAGTATCAGTACCTTGCTGTCTGACGTGTTTGCAGTATCAGTACCTTGCTGTCTGACGTGCTTGCAGTATCAGTACCTTGCTGTCTGACGTGTTTGCAGTATCAGTACCTTGCTGTCTGACGTGTTTGCAGTATCAGTACCTTGCTGTCTGACGTGTTTGCAGTATCAGTACCTTGCTGTCTGACGTGTTTGCAGTATCAGTACCTTGCTGTCTGACATGTTTGCAGTATCAGTACCTTGCTGTCTGACATGTTTGCAGTATCAGTACCTTGCTGTCTGACGTGTTTGCAGTATCAGTACCTTGCTGTCTGACGTGTTTGCAGTATCAGTACCTTGCTGTCTGACGTGTTTGCAGTATCTGTACCTTGCTGTCTGACGTGTTTGCAGTATCAGTACCTTGCTGTCTGACGTGTTTGCAGTATCAGTACCTTGCTGTCTGACATGTTTGCAGTATCAGTACCTTGCTGTCTGACATGTTTGCAGTATCTGTACCTTGCTGTCTGACGTGTTTGCAGTATCAGTACCTTGCTGTCTGACGTGTTTGCAGTATCAGTACCTTGCTGTCTGACGTGTTTGCAGTATCTGTACCTTGCTGTCTGACGTGTTTGCAGTATCAGTACCTTGCTGTCTGACGTGTTTGCAGTATCAGTACCTTGCTGTCTGACATGTTTGCAGTATCAGTACCTTGCTGTCTGACATGTTTGCAGTATCAGTACCTTGCTGTCTGACATGTTTGCAGTATCAGTACCTTGCTGTCTGACATGTTTGCAGTATCAGTACCTTGCTGTCTGACGTGTTTGCAGTATCTGTACCTTGCTGTCTGACGTGTTTGCAGTATCTGTACCTTGCTGTCTGACGTGTTTGCAGTATCAGTACCTTGCTGTCTGACGTGTTTGCAGTATCAGTACCTTGCTGTCTGACGTGTTTGCAGTATCAGTACCTTGCTGTCTGACGTGTTTGCAGTATCAGTACCTTGCTGTCTGACGTGTTTGCAGTATCAGTACCTTGCTGTCTGACGTGTTTGCAGTATCAGTACCTTGCTGTCTGACGTGTTTGCAGTATCAGTACCTTGCTGTCTGACATGTTTGCAGTATCAGTACCTTGCTGTCTGACGTGTTTGCAGTATCTGTACCTTGCTGTCTGACGTGTTTGCAGTATCAGTACCTTGCTGTCTGACGTGTTTGCAGTATCAGTACCTTGCTGTCTGACGTGTTTGCAGTATCTGTACCTTGCTGTCTGACGTGTCTGCAGTATCAGTACCTTGCTGTCTGACGTGTTTGCAGTATCAGTACCTTGCTGTCTGACGTGTTTGCAGTATCAGTACCTTGCTGTCTGACATGTTTGCAGTATCAGTACCTTGCTGTCTGACATGTTTGCAGTATCAGTACCTTGCTGTCTGACATGTTTGCAGTATCAGTACCTTGCTGTCTGACATGTTTGCAGTATCTGTACCTTGCTGTCTGACATGTTTGCAGTATCAGTACCTTGCTGTCTGACATGTTTGCAGTATCTGTACCTTGCTGTCTGACATGTTTGCAGTATCAGTACCTTGCTGTCTGACATGTTTGCAGTATCTGTACCTTGCTGCTTGAAGTTCTTGAAGCGGTGCAGGTCGTATCTCAGCAGTTTGTTAATCTGTTCCACTGACTTCTTCTTCACGTCTGGGACGAACTCCTGCAGCTCCTCCAGCAGCGCCCCGTCCACCCTGCCACAGGAAGTACACTGAATACTGCGCTCTGATTGGCTGATTCTAAATACGACTCTGTGTATAAACCAGAGCGATTTATCGATTTGCAGATATTATCGGCCAGCTGCAGATGTATCTACTTGATATGACGGAGGGGGATCCTTCCCTCGGGCTCTGAGTGGTGCACAGTTTGCCCACTAGAGGGCGCTCTGCAGCTCCTCTGTGAGCAGCACCACAGTCTACTGGGAGCTCTCACACTCGGTGTTCCCGGTGAGCTGGTCTTAAGAAGAAACAGCCCTCACCGCTTGTCCTCCGAGCAGACAGACCCCCCCGATGTTTTAAATAAGGGGAAGAATATCGGCAGGTACATCGCAGTAATCCCACATCGGGCTCTAGTACAAATACTACTACTGGATATGTATATTATATATTTCAAGTACTCACTGATCTTCCAAAGCTCCTCCTTTCTGTCTCTTCGCGCCTCCTCTTCCTCTCCTCCTCTCCTCTGTTCTCTTCTCCTCCTCCACACTCCCATCTTTCTTCTTCTTCTTCTTCTTCTTCTTCTTCATTCCGGCGTTCTCCATGGAAACTGAGGAGTCTGTTTCTCTGGTGTTGTGGTCTGTTGTTGCCATGACGACACTCTCCTCACTCAGTCGTCGTTTGTGTTTTTTCTTCTTCTTCTTCTTCTTTTCTGACTCGACCCGAGTCGCCTCCTCCTCTTCCTCCTGCTTGCCGATCACATCTCCATCAGCGGCAGGAGGAAGACTGGCCTCCTCTTCCTCCCTCTTCTTCTTCTTCTTCTTCTTCCTCTTCTTCTCCCCCCTCTCAGGTGTGTCGATGTCCACAGGCAGAGGACACTCCTCCAGACTGTCAGACCTCCTCCTCTTCTTCTGCCCTGAGGGAGAGGAGGCGTCTGCAGGAGGATTCATGATGGAGGAGCTGACCTGATGCTGCTGAGCAGTTTGTTGTTGGAGCTGAAAGAGAAGAAACTAACTTGAGAGCTCGTGGACAAAAACGTCAACAGGAAGTCGAATATTTTAACATCACTTTATCGCAATCAACTCCGACGTTCAGACGGTCAGACCCTGCAGGAGAGACCTCCTGCCCCCCCTCTGAGTCTCGTTATAGAACGACTTCTCCTGGACATGAGAGAGCTTCTGCAGAAAGTTTTGAACATGAGCAGAAAGCTGCTGAAGTTTTCTGGAGTTTGAACTTAAACTAAATGAACTTAGTGGAGGTGAAAACCACGAGGGACACGGAGGAGGGATCATGGCTGCATGTGTCTTGTTAAATTAGAAAAGCCTCATTATGTTCGATTAATGTTTGCTATTTGTCATTGTCCACCATTCAAACTAAACAAACGCTGAACTCTTAGGTTTCCAGAAATCTAGTAGGGAGGCACCCATCGTTCGGCCAGTAAAAAGCCAGTAAAAAGCCAATAAATGTTAGCCAACAGTCCCGTTGCCGTGTCGACAGTGTGGAAGCATTTTAAAGAGTCCAGTTTGCAGACGCTCTTCTGCCGAACTGTCTCCAGCACATCCGCTCCATCTGCTCCACCTGCGGCTGGAAAGAACCTCTGAGCGTTTCTGTCTCTCCTCTGTGAGAAGGACATTAAGCTAGCCGCGCCTACATTTGGAGTGCGCACGTATTCCAGCCTTTACGGTAAGTGAGGCGGCGCAGAGCGAGCTGCCAGGCAGGTGAGAGACTGAAGAGAGGCTGCGAAGTCTTCATGCTACAACGTTATTTATCAAACCGGGTGGGACTGGATGGATTTAGCGCGAGGAGGAAACACATGTGACAACGTCCGGTTTTCAAAATAAGGCGACTGTACAGGATGGAAATAAGATTAACGTATTATATTCACAGAAAGTAGAAAACATGTTACATGCGTCTATTAAGAGTAAATGGACTCATGTCATTTACTTTACCGGCCCCTCTCGGGCCCCGGGCCCCCACCATAGTCTCTGCACATCCTGTGGGAAACACGGAGAGAAAAGCTCGTTGGGACGGTTTCATTTGTGCAGCGGGGAAAAAGTGAACGTACTTTGGTGCTCAGGAAGGTTTTTCATTATACTAAAGTCTGGAAACGCTCTGCGGTCTCACACTTTACATACATGTTTATATTATTACAATGACCACGGCTGCTGAAGACCCCACCCCAGAGTGGGGGGGCACGGTTCTCTTGTTTAACTGTAGAGAAAGGAGCTGGGTATTTCCTCGCCGCCTTCTGCTTTGGTGAGATTCATGGAGTTCACTCTGAGCTGGGAAACCAAACTTGTGTCCTCCCTAAATCTGCTGACGTGGTTCCAGCTGGCAGAACTTATGTGGAGGACATTTCTCTGCTCTCATTGGTCATTAGGTGGAAGCCACGCCTTCTTCTTACTGCCTGATCCACAAACTGATTCCAGTCTTTACATCTCTTCCACCCGTTTACCCACAGCAGGACCAGAGTCCAGAGTCCCAGCTGGACAGCTACGCTACAGTCTGAACCCCGATCCAGAGAAAAGCTCCTTGTTTTTACAGAGCAGACGAAATGTGTTTGTAGATGAGAGGCCGCGGGAGGACAGCCTGGCGGCGAAACCCACACCCGGACCCGGACCGGACCCGGACCGGACTCCGGGCAGGGCCGCCCGCTCAGCGCCAAACTCACCGGGTGCCGTGCGCGTGCTGTGCGCAGCAGCCGCGGGCCGCCTCCGTCCTCAGACTCGCGCCACGTTCACAAACATTCCCGTCGAGTTTCAGGTCGCACCTGTGATCTGCAACCGGGACCTCCAGTCACGAGATGATCCAGCACGTCAGCCTCCAGGTGCCACTTCGGGCTGATCTCACCTTACAGTCCAGGCCACGAGTCCAGGCCACGAGTCCAGGCCACGAGTCCAGGACGAGTCCGGTCCTCAGAAGACCAGATCACGGGAGCGACTTGAACCTCGTCAGGAACATGTTTGTGAACGTGGGACGAGTCCGAGGACGGAGGCGGTCCGCAGGGCCGCAGCACCGGAACCAAAGACGATCCCAGAAGCAGGTTCTGGTTCCGATGAAGCGGTAACAGAATCCGCCGTGTAGACTTCAGTAAAGCGAGACCTTGGTCTTTACCCGGACCCGAACCCGCGCGGCCCCGTGACCCGAGAGACTCCAGAACCAGACCTAAACCCACACCCGTCTGAGCCGGTCCCGGTTCTAAACACGCACAGTAACCCGGATTGTGTTTATGTTTTTTATTGGAGCCACTCACCCTGTCTGCTGCACGCGGGAACAACCGCGCGACGCTGGTGTTTACTTCCTCTTTACTAACAGCGCATGCGCAGGACGCCTCCAGGAGCAGAGTTTCCGGTGCCTCCTCCTCCTCCTTCTGATTTGATTGGCGGTTGGCAGCCAGCATTGAGGAGCACTACCGCCACCTACCGGACTGGAGTGTGGAACGGATCATGTGCGGACTAACATAAAATAAAAGAAGCTATATCCTGTCTTTGAGATATTTAACGAGGTGCTTAGATATTCCCCAAGCTTCGTCCCCGAGGAGGTTCTCCACAGCGAACCAAAGCTCGGCTTCCTCTACAGCTGCTGCTGTTCTCCACGTGGCCTCTACTCCCTACACGGTTCACACAGAGTACCTGTGTTATAAAGTGAGTGGTTAAGCCCTGTGTGTCCTCACCTTAGACGGGGAATGACGGTCTCTGTCCTCCGGCACCCCCCCGGTTTTCTTCCCAGACCAACATGATTCTGTTTGCTGTAAAGTCTTCCAGTTTCATTTAGTTCCCAGTATTCTTGCCATATTTTTTGCATTTTCTCTTTAATGACTGTTTTAGCTTCAGATTTACTTAGCAGAACTTTTATGTCAACTGACTTTGATTTAAGTGCTTGTTTTGCCAGAATATCAGCGTCTTCATTTCCTTCTACCCCTACATGGGTCCCTTATGATATATTCTACACAGAGAACTATGAATACTAAATACCAGATCCAGCCCACAGGACGTAACAGATTTAACACTGGTGAGCGCTGCCCAGCTATCTGATGCAATGACCACCTTGCCTTCATTAGTTTCTTCTACGGGGTGAGAGCTACAGTGTCCCTGAAGATTAACCCAGTATGTTAGCATAATTCGTGTTCTTCTTATCCTTAGTGGCTGTTCCCCCATTTCCACTTTCATGGCAGCCACTAGAGAGGTCTTAAATGCTCCACTGCATGTTCTTAAAGCTTGTTCCACATCTAGTTTTTGAAGATGGCATTCTGCTGCTGACATATATGCTATACATCCATAATCTAGTGTAGATCTCATCAAGGTCTGATATATTTTAAGCAGTGATGTTGTAGTGGCCCCCCAGTCCCTTCCTGACAAACATCTTAAAAGGTTATTGATTTTTTTTTGCATTTGTCTTTGACCTTATCAGCTGTGCTGTTTCCAGGTCAACTTTTCATCAAACAACACTCCTAACAGTCTGATAACTTTGACTTGTTCGAGGGTTTGATCATATTATTTTAAGGACACTTCTTTATGTCTCCTGGAAAAACATATCACTTCTTTGCACCCGACACCTTGAAACCCCAGTTATTTTCCCACTGTTCCACCTCCACAATTGCTGCCTGTAATTATTTCTGAATAAATTTCAAATTCCGTCCTCTTATCCATAGGGCGCCATCGTCTGCATACAAGGACTTCCCAATACTTCTTTCCACTTTATCAAAAATATCATTTATCATGATGTTAAATAGTACTGGACTACAAAAACCGACTTATGGAGTACACCCTGACCACCCTGACCTCTATTGCCCTGACAAATAAAAAGTCCAACACCCAGTCGTACAGTCTACCACCTACACCTAATTTATTTAATTTAATAAGTAGCCCTTCCTCCCATAACATATCGTATGCTTTTTCAATATCAAAAAAGACAGCTACCACAACCTCCCCTTTTGTCTGAGCTTTTTTGATTTCAGATTCCAAACATAAAATAGAGTCCATTGTATTTCTCCCTTTCCGAAACCCACTTTGATCTGGTGAGTACAGATCTCTGCTTTCTAGAAAGACTGCTAATCTGTCTGTTCCGGTGCCTCCTTCTTCTTCTCTTGGTTAAAGAACCTCACTGCTGTGTGACCAGTAAGGCCAGTATTCCATGTATTCCAGTGTATATGTCAGTGAGTTTTCACACCCTGCCACCGCTCTCAGTAAGTTAATAACTTGTCTGCATTTAGTTTCCAGTTGCTTTATGTGTGTTTTCCATCTGTACTTACTGTCAAACCACAAACCCAAATACTTAAATTCATCTGCTTTTTCCATTGGCTGCTGATACAGAAGCTTTGAACAGCAGGATTTGCTTGTTGATATTTTAAACCCCGCTGAAAACTTCCCCACTTTCCCCAATGCTTTGTTCTCTAACTCACGTCTCATTGCTTCCTCTCCGTACGGCCCCATCATCTGCAGATAACGCCGATTTGATGTGTCCATAAATCTGAAAGTATGTAATTGAGCATGATGTTGAATAATAGAGGGGAATATTTACCTTAACTTTTCCTATCTGTTGGAAAGTCTACTATCCAGTTTGAAATCCTTCCTTCAAACCCATTCTGCTTAGTTTAATACGTAGTCCTTCACTCCGCGTGGGATCAGACGCCTTCTCAGTGTCAGAGTACACTGTTATCATCAGCTGCTTCACTTTCAGCGCCTCTTTCATTACGTACTCTAACGAGAGCGTCTGTTGTTACTCGGTAGTCCTCTCTGTTCCAGTACACGTGATAACCTACGGACTGTTATCCTCTCCTGCCACTTGCATTAGTGACATGTCACAGTGGGTCTGTACTTACCAGGGCTGCTCGGGTCAGGTTGGTTAAATGATAGTAAAACTGCACTTTTCCCAACATATTATTCCTTAGTCTTAGCACTAGCTGACTCTACTGGCAGCTGTCGGAACATAAGCGGTCTTGTCCTGGGGCTGGACATCCCCTGTCTAGCAGAGATATTATTCTGATATTGTAAAATCCACATCTAAAGCTGTTGTCCCGTCCTCCCTCTCCAGCTGCACCGACTTATCCGACAGCTTCAGTTACTTTACACACAAAGAGGTTTTATGAAGTACAGCAGTGCTTTAGCCGACTGACAGAAATTAAATTAAACTATTTCGATGAAGGTTTTTAAATTCTGTTTGTCAGCTCAGCAACATGGACTCATGGTACCACACAAAGTATTTTTTAAAGCAGGTACTGTTGTACTCTGACTCAAGTACAAATTTAAATTGCCTTCTACTTTTAGTGGAGTAATATTTAGTAAGATCATCTGTACTTCTACAGGACAAGTACAGGATCTGTGTACCGCTGTATTTAGTACTTGAAGTAGTACTTCGTATACAAACAGCAAAGTATCTGTAAGGTCAGAGGTAACAGATAATATAAATACCTCTGATAACATTTTAACATTTTGTTTGCAGATTCAGTCAAAAACAAAGATTCAAAGTTCAGTTTGTGTTTTTATTTGTTCTTCTGTACGTGAAGGTGTTAAAAGGTTGGTCCTGGTTCAGGTCTGGACCAGTCCTGGTTCTGATGGAGGATCTCAGACGGCGGGAGGATTCATGCTTTCTACAGGTTAACTCGCAGCAGCGTTCCTCAACATGAGGTCCAGGACCCTGAGGGGTCGCCTGATGAGTTTAAAACTAGAACCGCCATAGAGGGTAAAATTTACCCGCTATAGAAACGCAGTGATTTTGTGATTATTTCTTTCTGCTTTGGGAAACATTCAGCTGTGCATTTCCTATAAACAACATCCCCACATTTCAGGCAGAATATTTATTCTGTTTTATTCTTCTTCTTATTCATCTGTGAAGGACACGTTCACATGCGGCGGCTCTTTTGATGTCATCCACTCGCCGCTGTTATAGCCGAGTTATATTCTAAACACAGCTTCTGTTCTGCCTGTTTGTTCGGACTCCATCGGGCATCCAGAGAGTAACACAGAGCTACAAAAGTTTGAAAGTCCAAATAAAAGTAGGCTATTTATTCGAAAGAAACAATTATCAATTCCAAAATTCATAGTAGATTTTTATCCAACGGAAAAATGTATAATTAATCACTTTTGCTAAAAAATACACAGCATTGGAAAAGTTATAGCTGGTCAAAAAGCACAGGAGGGAGCCGCACGCTCTCTCACAGGGAAAAACTAGACTACTGCAGCATTAGATTTGAGGATCATGTATCAACACAAAAGCTACAAGCAGCGGCTTTTATGCATGTTTACTTCATACAAGTGGATCGCTGTCAGATAATGTCAGAGGCAGAATCAGCCCAGGACACATCGCTCAGCGCCCACCGTCAGACTCTCCTTCACTCACTGCGCTGAGCAAGTGTAATGCCTGTAGTCGGAAAGGCGTTGCCAATCAAAATCAGAGACCGGGCGACTTGAATATTAAATTGAAACAAAGATACATACAATCAAAAAACAGCCACGGGATCCTCTCCCTGAAGCTGTCCTGGTGTCACCGTCTGAAGAGAATACGCTGCAGCTGCCGGCTGAAGCATTGAGCGCACAGGCTCAAAACTCGCTGTATCTACGAGTCCTTTCAGCACCTACATGTGCAAACAGGTTTAAAACACAGAAAGGATCCTTTACAGTCAGTCAGACGGAGACGCTACGATTTCCTCCTGTAGAGAATTAAACCTGGACCACATGGTTCTTTCATAGACACACCAGCTGGATTATTTCCTGCCTCTTAAAACATCAGTAAAGATATTTTGATCCTGCGTTTATTGGAGAGGTTTGTGAAGCTCTCAGCTGTTTCTGCCAACATTCAGCTGCTCCAGGATCTGACCTCTCTTCTCTGCTGTCCCACAGCAGCAAACTCACCTCCTCGTTCAGAAGCAGACGTCTGATACCAACGTCTCACATGTACCTGCAACTACAACAGCAAAGGGCCGTGAAGACCAGGATCCAGATCCATCTTCTTGTTCTGCAGGACGTGCAGTATCGTGGTCGTCTCCTGACAAACAGAACGTCAGAAACACATGGAGGACGTCAGAGGGACTCTGAGACACAGGCTGCTGCATCCGCTCACCTGGGTTAAACATGCAGGCTCAGGCTCAGGGTCAGGGTCAGGGTCAGGCTCAGGGTCAGAGTCAGGGTCAGGCTCAGGGTCAGGCTCAGGGTCAGAGTCAGGGTCAGAGTCAGGGTCAGGCTCAGGGTCAGGCTCAGGGTCAGGCTCAGGGTCAGAGTCAGGGTCAGAGTCAGGGTCAGGCTCAGGGTCAGAGTCAGGGTCAGGCTCAGGGTCAGGCTCAGGGTCAGGCTCAGGCGGAGGGACTGGTTAATGATTCAACCATAAAATACCACATCTACCTTTGATGCTTTCACTTTTCCCACAATTTCATCCCACAGAATGCAGTTTTATAGAAAAGCTGCCGTACAGTCACAAAGAGGGCTGAACGTTGAGCCGGAGCGCAATGAGAGGTTACACGCTCCTCAGGGAACCTTTAACTGCTGTGGTCAGGAGCACCAAAAACAAACTGAGGGGCCAGCAGCAGCTGGAGCCCACTGGGCTCAGGTCAGACCTTCTGTTTGCTTTGTGGAGTCAACATGTGTCATCAGGGTTTCCACATCAATGCAGTCTGGGTTCTGGTTCCAGTCTAAATCCTGTCCTGATGACGTGATCCGACACACGGTGACAGTACAGCATTTGTAGTCTTTAAAGAGTATTAGTACTCAGTAAAATCGTGTCCCCGTGGGGTTCTGAAGACCTCGGACAGACTCTGCTCTTCATCAGTGACGATGATGATGGTGGCGGGGGGAGGAGCCAGCGGTGTACGTGTTGATGTGTGGGTCGTGCTCGTCTTCAGTGTGTGTCAGCGGCAGCGGGGCTCTCTGCTCGTCCATCCTCCTGGACTGGACTCTCTGGATCAAACTGAGGAAGTCCTCCTGACCTTCAGGAACCGAACCAACCACATCATCCAGATCAGGAAGGGAGCACCTCTGGTCCTCCATCCTGTCGGACTACAGAGAGACAGACAGTGAGACAGACTGAAGGAAAGGCAGCCACCTGGACCCTGTCCTTACCTTTACCCTGTCCCTGCCTTTACCCTGTTCCCACCTGGACCCTGTCCCTGCCTTTACCCTTTTCCCACCTGGACCCTGTCCCTGCCTTTACCCTTTTCCCACCTGGACCCTGTCCCTGCCTTTACCCTGTTCCCACCTGGACCCTGTCCCTGCCTTTACCCTTTTCCCACCTGGACCCAGTCCCTGCCTTTACCCGGTTCCCACCTGGACTGCCTTTACCCTTTTCCCACCTGGACCCTGTCCCTGCCTTTACCCTGTTCCCACCTGGACCCTGTCCCTGCCTTTACCCTTTTCCCACCTGGACCCAGTCCCTGCCTTTACCCGGTTCCCACCTGGACTGCCTTTACCCTTTTCCCACCTGGACCCAGTCCCTGCCTTTACCCGGTTCCCACCTGGACTGCCTTTACCCTTTTCCCACCTGGACCCAGTCCCTGCCTTTACCCGGTTCCCACCTGGACCCTGTTCCTGCCTTTACCCGGTTTCCACCAGGATCCCGTCTTGCACATCCCTGTTCCCTGTTTCTGCCTGCTCCTTGTTCTCACAGAATCCCTGTAAATCAACCTGTGTCTTTCTCTGGTTCCTCTTCCCTGTTGCTTGGACCTGAAATGTGACCCTGTTTCAGACCGACTGTGCGACCGCCAGACCACCTGTTGGCCCTGCCTTTGTAAAAGAGACAAAGTGTAGTAGATAGACTCTATTTTGATGGACATGTGTATATATGACTGATTCCACTTTTATTTTACTTTGCTGTGGCTCAGGGGGTAGAGCGGTCGTCCACTAACCAGAAGTTGGGTGGTTTGATCCACTGGTCTACATGTTGAAGTGTCCTTGGGCAGGACACTGAACCCCAGACTGCACTCCTACGGGGGGTCGACAGAGGACCCTCTTACCTTAGTTTAACATGTCAGCAGGAGATAAAGGAGGAGCTGCTCACAGCTGAAATCAAGGAACACAGACTCTGAATGAGACCCTGAAGAATCAGTTGGTACCTGGTAGTGTATGAGCATGCAGTAGAAGTCCAGAGTGGGCCGGCTGGGCTGGTCGGGGCTGCAGGCCCCACAAAGAGCAGCTGGTCCTGGGTCAGGCAGCAGGCTGAGGCTGGCTCTCTGGTCCTCCAGTCTCTGGCCCTGACACTCCAGGATCAGGTCCAACAAGGCCTCTGGCTCCTCCTGCTGGCTGCTTCTACGCTAAAGCGACAGCACAGGGACAAACGCGGGTTACTAAACACGGAACCAGCTCCACCTTCACATTCTGAGTAACGGTGAAAATCCAGAGACAGCTGGTGTGTGTGTGGTGCTACGACGACCAGCTACACTGAGGGGTACTGTCTGCAATGGAAAACGGAGGACGGCGGGCCAAAACCGAGGCGAGAAGAGGCGAGCTGGTGAAGCATCACTACAAAAGACGAAGCAGTGTGTAAGAAATATCTGATTCTTTGATAAAACACACATAAACACTGACGGAAGGAGGTCAACTACGACTCCCAGGGTGCATTACACCAACTAACAGCCAATCACAGAGCTTCACATCAGTTTCAGTACCATGTCATGAATCATAAATATGAAGTAAACTACTGACAATAAGACATATTTGTGCAGGGATGGGCAAAATGTTTACAGCAGGAGTGGTTATTGACGACAGCAGAAACGTTGTTCCCATGATGCTCACGAGCTCCAGGTCACAGCAGAGTTTATGGACAAAACAAGACTAAACGGAGAGGCAGCCATCCTGACGGCAGCGGGAGCTACAGATTACAGAATCGTTCAGCACAATCTGGATCAGCAGCAACAGGTGACAGTTACCTTGGTCCTGGAAGTAGTGGATCTGGTCCTGGAGCTCAGAGCAGAGGTGAAGCTCTGAAACCGGGGCCTGGTGGAGCTGTCTTCAGAACCAGGACCTGGTACAGGAGTCCTGAGGGGTGAGGTGGATGCTGAGGTCCTGCTGCTGGATGCAGACTGAGGCTGGGGAACAGTACTGGTGCTGCTGGGACTCTGGCATCTTGGTCTGGCCTCCAGGCTGCCATTATGGTGGAGGGGTGGAGAGTGTTTGGGTGCTGTCCCCCCAATGCTCCCATTGAGATGAGAAGGTGCAGACAGAGCGGGAGGAGGTGGACCGGAGAGGTTGCTGTCAGCCATGTTGGAGGTGTGAGCGGGGCCTGGATCACGATTCACATCATTGGGAGAAGCTAAACCTGGGCAGAAAGAGAATAGAGCAGGAAGTGAGACAGTTCCGCGTGGAGGACCATGTCACCTTCCTGATCACGGTGTCTTGGGGCCTTTCTGAAAACACTTGCTCCTCCATCTTCCTACCTTCTTCCACTTCTTTTGCGCGTTCATGCGGAGGGTCCGCCACATTGAGCGCCATCAGAAAGCAATGAGGGCGGAGTGGTAGTGGGTTGTTAAACCCTCCAGTGCCGAATGAGCACCGATGCCGGCTTGTTGAAGGTGTGTAACAGCCTTTGCTGCACGATGGGGGACCTTTCTTTCAAACTTGACTCCGCTGGTTAACATGTAGGATTTCAAATTCAGAAACTACTCTAACATTTCATATCACCGTTCACAGGTTAACAACACAGCCCAAAGGTTATATTGTGTTTAATTAAAAATGTTCTGATGGACAATTCAACTGTTGTTTTCAATGAATCATATCAATACAAAAATCTTCAGCCAAAACTAAATAGCCTACATTAAACGACAGAATTTTAGAACATGGCACAACCAGACTGAACATAATTATGAAGGTTTATGTTTTTGCACCTATTCATCATGAGCTGAACTCAAAGATCTAAGACTTTCTCTATGTACACAAAAGGCCTATTTCTCTCAAATATTGTTCACAAATCTGTCTGTCAAAATCTGTGTTAGTGAGCACTTCTCCTTTGCCCAGATAATCCATCCACCTCACAGGTGTGGCATATCAAGATGCTGATCAGACAGCATGGGGATTGCACAGGTGTGCCAGGCTGGCCACAATAAAAGGCCATAGGCTGGCCACAACAAAAGGCATTAGGCTGGCCACAATAAAAGGCCTTAGGTTGGCCACAATAAAAGGCCTTAGGCTGGCCACAACAAAAGACCTTAGGCTGGCCACAATAAAAGGCCGGTCAGGCCTTTTCAGGTTCAGTGTAGGGGGAATCACCTAACAAGCAACAAAGGCATTTAAGAAAAATAGTAAAGTCATCATACATTTGAACTGTTTTAAATTCTTCAGACTAGATAGTGCTTCAGTATAATGTTTGATTTCTATTGAAATGTTGGATTTGTGAAAGTAACATTTTTCATATAACAGGTTCCAATATATAGGCTTTTCTTTACGATGAATGTCAATCTTTTCATAAAGAATATATTTATTTTTCGTAAATATCTTAAGTCACATTCTTAAAGAAATATTCGACACAAACACAAAAAAAACTCTAAAAAAGAAAATAATAAAACAAAGACGGTTAGCTCCATCGTATAATACTGAAACTTGCAAATTAAAGCAAATATCGCAGAAACTTGAGAGGAATTGGCGTTCCACCAAAGTGGAAAATTCTCATTTAATTTGGCAAGATAGTCTTAAAACTTATAGGAAGGCCCTCCGTAATGCCAGAGCAGCGTACTACTCGTCATTAATAGAGGAAAATAGGAACAACCCCAGGTTTCTTTTCAGCACTGTAGCCAGGCTGACAGAGAGTCACAGCTCTATTGAGCCAAGTATTCCCATAGCTCTCAGTAGTTACGATTTCTTGAGCTTCTTTAATGATAAAATTCTAACTATTAGAAACAAAATTCACCAAGACCTGCCCTCAACTGGCACCAACTTATTTCTAAACTTAGGAACCTTAGAAAAAGCTGTAGAAGCAGATATATGTTTAGACTGTTTTGCTTCCCTCAATCTTTACCAACTAACTTCAATAATTTCTTCATCTAAACCATCAACCTGCCTCTTAGACCCCATCCCGACTAGGTTGCTTAAAGATGTTTTACCCTTAGTCAGCACTTCTATACTAGATATGATCAATCTATCTCTATCAACAGGCTATGTACCACAGTACTTTAAAGTAGCTGTAATTAAACCTCTTCTGAAAAAGGCCAAACTTGATCCGGATGTTTTAGCCAACTATAGACCTATATCTAACCTTCCATTTCTCTCTAAGGTTCTGGAGAAAGCAGTTGCTAAACAGCTGTGTGACTTTCTACAGAGCAATAGTTTATTTAAGGATTTTCAGTCAGGATTTAGAGCTCATCATAGCACAGAGACAGCACTGGTGAAAATTACTAATGACCTCCTTATTGCATCAGACAAAGGACTTGTCTCTGTACTGGGTTTATTAGATCTTAGTGCTGCATTTGATACCATTGACCATCAGATCCTATTGCAGAGACTGGAACATTTCATTGGCATTAAAGGAACCATTCTAAGCTGGTTTAAGTCCTATTTATCAGATCGATTTCAGTTTGTACATGTTAACGATGAGTCCTCCATGCATGCCAAAGTTAGTCATGGAATTCCACAAGGATCTGTCCTCGGACCAATCCTCTTCACTTTATATATGCTTCCTTTAGGCAATATTATCAGGAAACATTCCATAAGCTTTCATTGTTATGCAGATGATACTCAGTTATATCTATCGATTAAGCCAGATGAAACTCATCAGTCAGCTAAACTTCAAATGTGCCTTCAGGATGTTAAAACCTGGATGACCTGTAATTTTCTAATGTTAAACTCAGATAAAACTGAAGTTATTGCTCTGGGGCCTAAGCACCTCCGTGACGCATTATCTAAAGATATAGTTTCCCTGGATGGCATCGCCTTGGCCTCCAGCACCACTGTGAGGAATCTTGGGGTTATCTTTGATCAGGACATGTCTTTTAAGTCTCACATTAAGCAAATTTCAAGGACCGCCTTTTTTCACCTACGTAATATTGCGAAAATCAGGAACATCCTGTCTAAAAATGATGCAGAAAAACTAGTCCATGCATTTATTACTTCTAGGCTGGATTACTGCAATTCCTTATTATCAGGCTGCTCGAAAAAGTCCGTTAAGACTCTTCAGCTGATCCAGAATGCTGCAGCACGTGTTCTGACAGGAACCAGGAAAAGAGATCACATTTCTCCTGTTTTAGCTTCTTTGCATTGGCTTCCAGTAAAATCCAGAATAGAATTTAAAATCATTCTTCTTACCTACAAAGCTCTTAATGGTCAGGCACCATCTTATCTTAAAGAGCTCATAGTACCTTACTACCCCACCAGAGCACTGCGCTCCCAGAATGCAGGGTTACTTGTGGTTCCTAGAGTCTCCAAAAGTAGCTATCAAGCTCCTCTCCTGTGGAACCAGGTTCCAGTTTGGGTTCAGGAGGCAGACACCATCTCCACATTTAAGAGTAGGCTTAAGACTTTCCTCTTTGATAAAGCTTATAGTTAGGGCTGGCTCAGGTGAGTCCTGAACCATCCCTTAGTTATGCTGCTATAGGCCTAGACTGCCGGGGGATTTCCCATGATGCACTGAGCTCCTCTCTCCTCTACTTTCTCTCCCTCTGTATGCAACCTCATCCCATTATTGCATGTTACTAACACAACTTCTCCCCTTTCTGGTAGTCTTGTGCTTTCTCGTCCCTCTCCTCTCTCCTCCTATCACTTCCTGCAGGTTTTCTGGCTCTGGAGCTGTGGAGTCTGGATCTGTGGTTGCGGGTCACCTGCTGCCCCCATGTTCCTGCTCGACACCCTCTGCTGCAACGACTATTGTTACTAGTCCTATTATTATTATTGTTATTATAATCATTAACATTACGATTGTTACCATTAACACTATTATAAATATCTGTACCGTTTTTCATTTAGTCTATACTAACATCACCTTTACTGTCTGTACCTGTGTGGATATTGTGTAGGCTGCCTCCCTCCCCTCTCTCTCTCTCCCTCTCTCTCTCTCTCTCTCTCTCTCTCTCTCTCTCTCTCTCTCTCTCTCTCCTCTCTCTTCTCTCTCTCTCTCTCTCTCTCTCTCTCCCTCTCTCTCTCCTTCACCCCAACCGGTGGAGGCAGATGGCCGCCCACCCTGAGTCATGGTTCTGCTCGAGGTTTCTGCCTCTTAAAGGAAGTTTTTCCTTGCCTCTGTCTCCTAGTGCTGCTCTTGGTGGGAACTGTTGGGCTTCTGTAAATAGCATCATAGAGTACGGTCTAGACCTGCTCTTTTATGAAAAGCGCTGTGAGATAACTGTTGATTTGGTGATATATAAATAAAATTGAATTGAATGACAAAAGCTTTCAGTTATGTTATTATAAAAAACAAACTTTTCCTCAACATCAGTCCTGAATCTTAATGCAGCTGTTGTTTATTTGATCCACATATTACAGCAGTGAGTGCAGCAGTAACGTCAGATCCTGTTTACGCTTGGGGGAGAGGGTGGTTCGTCCGAAAGTTGGCCGCAGTATTTCACCCTACGCTGGTTAGGGAGCTGGATTTGGCTGTGAGGGTGATTCTGACCAGAGTTCACTCCATGTCGGAGTGGAAGTGGCAAGGGTCTAGTTTCAGAAAGGCCCTCTGAGTTCCTGCGAGTGGAAGCAAACAAAGTGGAAGCATCATCTTGAATTCTGATAGATTCAGTGTCAGACGTCCGACTGACCAAACGATCGTCTGCTCGTGTCAGCAGGCTCTTCTGGACCTGTTCAGACTGTTAGTTCTTCACCTCAGAAGACTGACTGACGGCTCCAGAACAGGAACTGAACGGATCTGAGGTTTTGTTTGATCAGCTGCAGTTTTCAAGGTCAAGAAAGAACTTCTGTAGTCTCTCTCTTGCCCCTGTGGCCGGGTGCTGATCCTGGTGGGACCTGGTCTGTAAAACCTTAGTGAGGTGCATCGTGTTTTCATGCTCTGTTCACACCAATAACAAGCTGCTGCAGAGACTCGGGTCCTAACAGATCCTGCTGAGCTGGAGCCTGTGGACCAGGGGCCCCCTATTACAGAAAGTTCCTGTCTTTAGTCTGAAGTTCAGACAGGAAGAGTCTCAGAGAGGATTTCTCCCAGTTTGGTTTCACAGAAGCAAATCAAGCAACTCAGTTTAGGAATCCTGTCTTATCTCAGGTCAGCAAATCCTAAACACTTGATCCAGCATCAACTTTTATGTCTGTTTCCTAGCAACCGATGCCACTTTGCTCATCGCGCCGAGCTAAACGTTTTTTAGTCGCTGTTTGGTCGTTTTTTAATGAAACAAACTGAAAATGGAGCAAAAACAACAACTATCACTGAACTTCAAGTCAGGTGACTCAGAGGTGTCGCTGACCTCCGTCGAGAAATCCAAATCCACGTAACGCTTAACTCGTGTGATTACAGAGAGAGCGGGCTAAAACGGCGAACACAGTCACCGCCGCATCTCCGGCATCCAGCGGAGCGCTGATGCTGTCAGAAAGAAAATCAGTCCATCTACAGCTGTTGAGTCCAGAGAGCAGAGGAAACCCGGCGGTGGCTCCTCCTGCGCTCCTCACCGACCCCGGCAGGAACCGACGCTGCTAGTTAATAATGACGGTAAAAATAATAATGCTAACAAAAGGCTGCTGCTGACGTCGTCGTGTGTTCATGTAGTTCTTGTCTCTAACCATCTCCTCCTATCAAAGACCTGCATCAGGATGCTTTTGTTCCATCAAGCCTTCACATCATGTGACACGATGAGACCAGCGTCACATCGCCGACAGCCGTTTGTCGTCAACACATCTGTAGATCAGTGATGAAGTTCGGCCTGTTGACATTTTCTTGGTTTTGTGTGGATTAAAGGAGTTACTAAACACCAGCTGGTGGAAAAGTAAAGTCAGGATGTTCCTGTAAAACGCTGTTCTGATCTGAAGTTAGGAAAGGAACACAGACTGAGGTTAATCTGTAACGGCCTTTTTCCTAACTCAGCTGCTAACCCTTATTACCATGGTTACCAAGCAGTCAGGGTCTGTGATACGGCCCCTGGTCTGGTTCTATTTGGGATGTGGCCACTGCAGGTCCAACATGTGGGACGCCTCTGTGAGGACACGTCCATGCTGGTTACTGCAGCATGAAACTGTCAGGGTGTGACAGACTGGAAGTGAAGCAGTCTGGGTAAAGTGGGCCGGCTCTGGTCCTCGTCCAATCAGCTTCAGCACAAGTAGGTCAACAACAAAACACAACCAAAGAGGGTCTAATCCCATTTACACCACAAAGGACAGACGTGCACACACACACATGCATAATGAGCAATAGTGTCCCTGCGTTGGTCTCCTTCAAAGCTTCAGTCAGCAGAAGTCTTCAGTGCCACCTGACGGCCATCAGAAGAAACTGTCACTGTGTCTGCACACAGATGGAAGCTCAGAAGGATCCAAATTAGCTCCAAAATCCAAAATTAATCATCAAAAAGTGTTTTTCCTGACCCAGTTTCAGGTTTTAAAGTTTGGTTTCTGACTCAGCTGAAACTGATCGAGACAAGAAACTGCTGACAAGAAGAACGCTCAGATAAAGTTTTTAAATAAAGTTTTAAATAAAGTTACTTCACCTCAACATCATAAAGTTCTTCAGCTTCCTGTCCTCGTTTCCCGTCGCGCTTCACGGCTTCTTTTTCTCCTCTTTCACTTCTTCACTTGTTCCTCTGGTCTCGTTTCTCCACCGAGTGAAATCGGCTGGTCGACACACACACATTTAAACACACACACACACACACACACACACACACACACACACACTGACACAATGAAAGAGAGAGGACCCCCCCTTCCCCCCCATGGGCCTACACCATGGTTGCTATAGCAACCAAAGAGTGGCTTCCAAATCCTGCCTCACACACACACACAGAGAAACACACACACAGTGAAACACACACACACAGTGAAACACACACACACAGTGAAACACACACACAGTGAAACACACACAGTGAAACACACACACAGAGAAACACACACAGAGAAACACACACAGTGAAACACACACAGTGAAACACACACAGTGAAGCACACACACACAGTGAAACACACACACACAGTGAAGCACACACACAGAGAAACACACACAGAGAAACACACACAGTGAAACACACACAGTGAAACACACACAGAGAAACACACACACACTGACACAATGAAAGAGAGAGGACCCCCCCTTCCCCCCCATGGGCCTACACCATGGTTGCTATAGCAACCAAAGAGTGGCTTCCAAATCCTGCCTCACACACACACACAGAGAAACACACACAGTGAAATACACACACACAGTGAAACACACACACAGTGAAACACACACACACAGTGAAACACACACAGTGAAACACACACACAGAGAAACACACACAGAGAAACACACACAGAGAAACACACACAGTGAAACACACACAGTGAAGCACACACACACAGTGAAACACACACACACAGTGAAGCACACACACACAGAGAAACACACACAGAGAAACACACACAGTGAAACACACACAGTGAAACACACACAGAGAAACACACACACACTGACACAATGAAAGAGAGAGGACCCCCCCTTCCCCCCCATGGGCCTACACCATGGTTGCTATAGCAACCAAAGAGTGGCTTCCAAATCCTGCCTCACACACACACAGAGAAACACACACACAGTGAAATACACACACACAGTGAAACACACACACACAGTGAAACACACACACAGTGAAACACACACAGTGAAACACACACACTGAAGCACACACACTGAAGCACACACACACAGAGAAACACACACAGAGAAACACACACAGTGAAACACACACAGTGAAACACACACAGTGAAGCACACACACACAGTGAAACACACACACAGTGAAGCACACACACACAGAGAAACACACACAGAGAAACACACACAGTGAAACACACACAGTGAAACACACACAGTGAAGCACACACACAGTGAAACACACACAGTGAAGCACACACACACAGTGAAACACACACAGTGAAACACACACAGAGAAACACACACAGAGAAACACACACAGTGAAACACACACAGTGAAGCACACACACACAGTGAAACACACACAGTGAAGCACACACACAGTGAAACACACACAGTGAAACACACACACTGAAGCACACACACACAGTGAAACACACACACTGAAGCACACACACACAGTGAAACACACACACTGAAACACACACACACTGAAACACACACACAAAGTGAAACACACACACACTGAAACACACACACAGTGAAACACACACACACAGTGAAACACACACACTGAAACACACACACTGAAACACACACACAGTGAAACACACACAGTGAAACACACACACTGAAGCACACACACACAGTGAAACACACACAGTGAAACACACACACTGAAGCACACACACACTGAAACACACACAAAGTGAAACACACACACACTGAAACACACACACAGTGAAACACACACACTGAAGCACACACACACTGAAACACACACAAAGTGAAACACACACACACTGAAACACGCACACACTGAAACACACACACACATTCCTGCAGTGTTCAGCTGCTCTTCTGCTGTGGCCTCACACACACGTTTGTTCCTCTATCCCTGTGGGGACATCTCAACGACACAATGCTTTCCCTACCTCCTAATCCCTACCTCCTAACCTCAACCTGATTCTAACCTGAACTCTAAAACCAAGTCCTAACCCTCAAACACGAGTCCATCAGTTAGTGTGCATTCAGGTTCAAGTCCCCACCAGGATATAAAAACATGAAATCCACACACAGAATCTGGCCCATTGGGTCAAAACCACACGAGCCAAACTGGACACAGTCTGCGTCCGACAGAACGTCTGCATTCAGAACCAGACACCTGTTTGGAAACACGCATGTACACTCGCTGGCCTCTTTATTAGGAACACCTGTTCAACTGCTTGTGAACACAAATAGCTAGCCAGCCAATCACATGGCAGCAACTCAGTGCATTTAGGCATGTAGACGTGGTCAAGACAACTCGCTGAAGTTCAAACCCAGCCTCAGAATGGGGAAGAAAGGGGATGAAAGTGACTTTGAACGTGGCATGGTTGTTGGTGCCAGACGGGCTGAGCATTTCAGAACCTACTGATCTGCTGGGATTTTCAACCATCTCTAGTGTTTACAGAGAACGGTCCGAAGAAGAGGAAATATCCAGTGACCAGTTCGTGTGGACGAAAACGCCTTGTTGATGTCAGAGGAGAATGGGCAGGCTGGTTCCAGATGACAGAAAGGCAACAGTCAGATAACCACTCGTGACCACCAAGGTCCATCCTGCCTCGTATCATCGGTTCAGGCTGGTGGTGTGATGGTGTGGGGGACATTTTCTTTGCACACTTTGGGCCCCTCAGTACCAACTGAGCATCGTTTAAACCCGACAGCCTACCTGAGTATTGTTGCTGATCACGTCCATCCCTTTATGACCCAGTGTACCATCTTCTGATGGATAATGCTCCATGTCACAAAGCTCAGATCATCTCAGACTGGTTTCTTGAACATGACAATGAGTTCACTGAACTCCAGAGGCCTCCACAGGCACCAGATCTTTCACCAAGATTCACATCATGAACGTCCAGCCGACAAATCTGCAGCACCGGTGTGATGCTGTCATGTCAACATGGACCAAAGTCTCTGAGGAAGGTTTCCAACAGCTTGTTGAAAGTGTGCCACAAAGAATTAAGGTTCTGATCCGGTACTAGCAAGGTGTCCCTAATAAAGTGGCCGGTGAGTGTAAATAACACTTTCACAGCAGCACACTGATGAACTGTGCTCAAAACACTCCTGAACTGTCTGTGGTTCTGTCTGTGGTCCCGTCTGTAGTTCTGTCTGTAGTTCTGTCTGTGGTTCTGTATGTGGTTCTTCTTGTGGTTCTGTCTGTAGTTCTGGTGTGGTTCTCTATGTAGTTGTCTTTGTAGTTCTGTCTGTAATCTGTCTGTAGGTCTGTGTGTGGTTCTCCTTGTGGTTCTGTCTGTAGTTCTCTTTGTGGTTCTGTCTGTAGTTCTGTCTGTGGTCCTGTCTGTGGTTCTGTCTGTAGTTCTGTCTGTGGTCCTGTCTGTAGTTCTGTCTGTAATCTATCTGTAGTTCTGTGTGTGGTTCTGTCTGTAATCTGTCTGTAGTTCTGTCTGTGGTCCTGTCTGTGGTTCTGTCTGTGGTTCTGTCTGGGGTTATGTCTGTAGTTCTATCTGTGGTTCTGTCTGTGGTTCTGTCTGTGGTTCTGTCTGGGGTTCTGTCTGGGGTTATGTCTGTAGTTCTGTCTGTAGTTCTATCTGTGGTTCTGTCTGTGGTTCTGTCTGTGGTTCTATCTGTGGTTCTGTCTGTGGTTCTGTCTGTAGTTCTGTGTGTGGTTCTGTCTGTAATATGTCTGTAGTTCTGTCTGTGGTACTGTCTGTAGTTCTGTTTCTGGTTCTCTTTGCTGTTCTGTCTGTAATCTTTCTTTGTAGTTCTGATTGTGGTTCTGTCTGTAGTTCTGTCTGTGGTTCTGTCTGTAGTTCTGTCTGTAGTTCTGTCTATGGTCCTGTCTGTGTATTCCTGTCTGTTGTTCTGTCTGTGGTCCTTTCTGTAATTCTGTCTGTAATCTATCTGTAGTTCTGTGTGTGGTTCTGTCTGTAGTTCTGTCTGTAGTTCTGTCTGTAGTTCTGTCTGTAGTTCTGTCTGTACTTCTGTCTGTACTTCTGTCTGTGGTCCTTTCTGTAATTCTGTCTGTAATCTATCTGTAGTTCTGTCTGTGGTCCTGTCTGTGGTTCTGTCTGTAGTTCTGTCTGTGGTTCTGTCTGTGGTTCTGTCTGTGGTTCTGTCTGTGGTCCTGTCTGTAGTTCTGTCTGTAATCTATCTGTAGTTATGTGTGTGGTTCTGTCTGTAATCTGTCTGTACTTCTGTCAGTACTTCTGTCTGTGGTCCTTTCTGTAATTCTGTCTGTAATCTATCTGTAGTTCTGTGTGTGGTTCTGTCTGTGGTTCTGTCTGTAATATGTCAGTAGTTCTGTCTGTAATCTATCTGTAGTTCTGTGTGTGGTTCTGTCTGTAATCTGTCTGTAGTTCTGTCTGTAGTTCTATCTGTGGTTCTGTCTGTGGTTCTGTCTGTGGTTATGTCTGTGGTTCTGTCTGTAGTTCTATCTGTGGTTCTGTCTGTGGTGCTGTCTGTGGTTCTATCTGTGGTTCTATCTGTGGTTCTGTCTGTGGTTCTGTCTGTAGTTCTGTGTGTGGTTCTGTCTGTAATATGTCTGTAGTTCTGTCTGTGGTACTGTCTGTAGTTCTGTTTGTGGTTCTCTTTGCTGTTCTGTCTGTAATCTTTCTTTGTAGTTCTGATTGTGGTTCTGTCTGTAGTTCTGTCTGTGGTTCTGTCTGTAGTTCTGTCTGTACTTCTGTCTGTGGTCCTGTCTGTGGTCCTGTCTGTTGTTCTGTCTGTACTTCTGTCTGTGGTTCTCTTTGTGGTCCTGTCTGTAGTTCTGTCTGTAATCTATCTGTAGTTATGTGTGTGGTTCTGTCTGTAATCTGTCTGTACTTCTGTCAGTACTTCTGTCTGTAGTTCTGTCTGTAGTTCTATCTGTGGTTCTGTCTGTGGTTCTGTCTGTAGTTCTGTGTGTGGTTCTGTCTGTAATATGTCTGTAGTTCTGTCTGTGGTACTGTCTGTAGTTCTGTTTCTGGTTCTCTTTGCTGTTCT